CTCCAGGTTGAGCTGTTGTTCAGCATCTTAGCTGTAGAGGGCAGTGTCACTGGCCCTCATATGTGGGATCCGAACCGGGGCCCTCTGGCATCCCAAACGAGTTCTTAACCATCGCACCACTCGGCCGGCCCTAGATAATATTTTTGATAGCTGTTCATCTGTCACATAATTCTGAGTGTTTTAGAAATGTAAATATGGTGACATTTTATTTTTATTATTTTTTAGACAAATTTTTTTATTTTTTATTTTAACTTTATCGGGGAACAATGTGTTTTTTTCCAGGACCCATCAGCTCCAAGTCAAGTTGTTGTCCTTCAATCTTAGTTGTGGAGGGCGCAGCTCAGCTCCAAGTCCAGTTGCCACTTTCAGTCTAGTTGTTGGGGGGTGGGGGGGGTGCAACCCACCATCCCGTGCAGGAGTCGAACCGGCAACCTTGTTGTTAAGAGCACGCGCTCTCACCAGCTGAGCCATCCTGCGCCCCTTGGCAGCTCAGTGGCAGCTCAGCTTGGGCGCAGCTCACTGGCCCATGTGGGAATTGAACCGGCAACCCTATTGCTCAGAGCTCACGCACTTAACCAACTGAGCCACCCAGCCGGCCATGCTGACATTTTAAATACATGATATAAAAAAGGTAATACTTGGTTTTCTTTTTTCCCTGATTTAGGAGCTGTGACTGATGAGAATTAAAGGCCATGGATGAAGATGGACTTGAATTACAACCACAAGAGCCAAACTCATTTTTTGATGCAACAGGTATAACTACTTGGGTTGTTCTACTTTCCAGCTACCAAATTTGGAGTTAGTTATCAAGTGGATGAATTGCTAGACTCTCACATTGATATTCACACTTAGGTATCTTATTATCTTCTCAAGCCTACAAATGTTAAAGTGAGTACATTATTCCCCTCCTTAAAAATTTGGCTCCCTCACAACCAACTCTGAGATTCTTGTCAGGAACAGTAGAAGTATCGAAATCGTAGTGTTATCTTCAGTTATTTTCATCTTGCCCAGTTAGAGCACTAAGTCCTGTTCTCCCTTTGAAATGTTTCTTGCTTACATCTCTTTATCCTACTTCTGACCACATGGACAGGCTCTAGCACCTCATTCTTAGTATGCAGTAACTTTTAAGTTATTTTTCTTACCCTAAGTCCCTTTTTATATAGCCCACCAATCAGAGTACTCATCATAAAATAACATGTGGCCCATGTCATTTCTCTGTTTATCCAGCAGGGAAAGTAGAAACCTAAGGCCCTCCACATTCTGACCCTGTCCTACTTTTACAACCCCCTCTCTAGGTTGACAAAACGAGCCTTTCGCTTCAGGAAGACGGAGTCTTACCACACTCCCCAAACTGTACAAGGAAAGTTAAATTCATGAAGCTCTAAAACTAGAAAAAAAAGTATTCACAATTTTAGATTATCCATGGTTTCAATTATATAGCATTGTAAAGTGATTGTGCTAGGTTTTATGTAAGATAGTTTTATATAACATTAGCTAGCTACCCTTATAAATAAAATATTAATGAGTTTTCCATTGGAGTTGAAATGATCATATTGTGGTATATTAAAGAAATAGCAATTAACTATATCAGGAAATTAAATATTAGTGATTTTTAATTTTAACTTTCCTTTAATCTCTAAATCCACCGGGGGTGGCTGTATGTGTATTTTTCTTAACAATTTAGGATAGTCTTTTGACTCAGGTTTGGTAATTTCAGTTTGATAATGATAAATGCAAAGTTATAATTCTTTCTTCATTAGAACATGAAGTATAACTAATGTGCCTGAGAGAGAGACTCAGCTCTTTGAGGAAAAACACACAGTATTTGCTAGCTTAATGTCACCACAGGCAAGCCTGGATCATGGGCTAAGTGGTGGCTTGAAGGGCTATTGCATTTTAGCCCTGATTGATAACACTTATGGTGCTTGTTTATCTTTAAGCAAGTCACTTAATCTGCCAGGGCCTCCGTTTTCAAATGTCCTAATAATAATGAAACCTCTCATTACAGTTTTTCAGAACACTTCCCATACATTCCCATTTGACCATCACCACAGTCCTGTGAGGTATGCATGGCAGATACTGCTGTCCACATTTTACTGATGAGGAAACCGAAACTCAGAGGTTAAATGACTTGCCCAAGGTCACAAAACTAATAAGTGTCCAAACCCTGCTCTCTGGTTTAGATTTTTTAACCATTGCTCTTGCCACTAAATGCTTTCATCTTTATGTTTGCAAAATGGAGATTACAGTAATCTATTGCTTGATATTAACATTGACAATATTGAAAACAAATGAATATAAAGCATTTTGTAGAAGTTCTATAGAAATTAAAGCAAACATACTCTATTATTTATAGATGCAATTAAAGTTGATATTAACAGGCTTTAAGATTTCCTACATTTTTTAAGGTTCTTTGGCCATTGTTGATCATTTGCGTTTGTTAAACAAAGCTATGTGTCTCTTCTGAGGGCCTGGCCAGTGACACACAATCATTGAGTTAGGCAGCTGCTTGGACTCAGCCTGGTGTGAGTCACATCCAGAAACCCTAGTCGAATGAATAGCTTTTTAGGTAAGACTTTTATAAAACTTTGCTTGCTTTTCTCTGGACCAGGAGCCAAGATACCCCATTTGTTTTATTTGATCTTACGTTATATTTTTGGCAAGGATATCAGATTTTGAGTCCTATTTGTCACATTCATTCGGAGTAATATTTACTGAGCACCATAATCTGTGCAAACTGTGTGATCTTGGTGAAGTCATTTAATCTCACTGGGCTTTTAAGTGATTCAACCCTGTACTTTCATTCTTAACTGCAGAGTGGACTCGAGTAGCGTTTCTTACATTCTGAGGACTGTCTGGGAGATTGGAGTATGGGGGATGGGAAGAGCCAGGATGGAAACAGAGGAGCCTGGGGAAGTTGGGGCAGGTCCCGCTTCAACTGTGCTCACCCTTCGTGCTCCAGAGCAGCTGCACTTGTCTTCATCTTATCTATCCACAGAGGCTCCTTTACCAGTTGCCTTTCCTCTTTAACCATGGCCTTCCAGCCCTCTTTTCATATCTGCCCCAATCCTTTTATACCCTGGATTCAGAGGATACTTTCTAAATTTCCAGTCATAAATGGAGGATATTGGTGGGATATGGTACCAGAACAAAGGGGGAGAAAGGAGAAAAATAGAAGGGAAGTAAAAGAAATACATAGGAGAGATGGAAAGAAGAAAAGGTATGAATTGAGAAGAGAGAAATGGAGCAAGAAGGAAAAGAAATGGAAAACATATACTGAAGGACAATGGTATATTTGCCACCTGAAGTTGCTTTACTTAATAATTTTTTGTAATCATTCCTTAAATAGTTATGCACATGGGCTTAATTTTAGTGAGCCTAGAATTTTACTTTTCATGAATATTTTTTTTTATGACTGCCTCAATTGCTTTGTTTTTCTATTTCCTTATCAATTAATTGATTTGGCAGGAGTATAAAGGTTCTTGTATTAAAATTTTTCATTTCTGAAATGATTAAAAAGTAGATTCCCTCTTTATTTCTTTAATCTATGTTAATGTTTGAGAAAACTGAGGAGCTAGTCTGTTTTCCTGGTAGAAATTAAATAACATTTATATTAATTGAGGTCGTCATGAATGCCAGCTGAAATTTGTGACTTAAAATTTTTTTTTTTTAAGGTGCTACACACATGGATGGTGATCAAATTGTTGTGGAAGTACAAGAAACTGTTTTTGTTTCAGATGTTGTGGATTCAGACATAACTGTGCATAACTTTGTTCCTGATGACCCAGACTCAGTGGTAATCCAAGATGTTATCGAGGACGTTGTTATAGAAGATGTTCAGTGCCCAGATATCATGGAAGAAGCAGATGTATCTGAAACGGTCATCATTCCTGAGCAAGTGCTGGACTCAGATGTAACCGAAGAAGTTTCTTTAGCACATTGCACAGTCCCAGATGATGTTTTAGCTTCCGACATTACTTCAGCGTCAATGTCTATCCCAGAACACGTCCTGACAGGCGAATCCATACATGTGTCTGACGTTGGACACGTTGAACACGTGGTTCATGATAGTGTAGTAGAGGCAGAAATCGTCACTGATCCTCTGACAACTGACGTAGTTTCAGAAGAAGTGTTGGTAGCAGATTGTGCCTCTGAAGCAGTCATAGATGCCAACGGGATCCCTGTGGACCAACAAGATGATGACAAAAGCAACTGTGAGGACTACCTTATGATTTCCTGTAAGTCTTGGGGTACAGTGACTGTCTTTCCCAGGGGTGAAATTTTCTTGACTTCCATAAAATTAAAAGTAAATTTCATAGACCTTCCTGCATTGTTTCAGTTTGGAGCCTATAAGATAACTCAAAATTAAGAAAAGTGAAATGGTACACAGTAAAGAGTCATTTCTCGATTAGGATGCAATAGAAAGATGAGATTTCTTAAGCCTAGAAAGACAGAGATGGAAAGGAATAGAACTGAACTTTTGTGAAATCATGAAGGATGTGATTAGGCTGTTACCAGCCTTTATTAGAATTGGGAACCCCCTTGAAAGTTAAAAGGATTTCAACTTGGGGAAAAAAGTGTATAACCAAACTACTTATATTCTTGTATATGGATGTACAGTACTACTTATCTAATACTTATGTCCATATGTAAAATATTCTTTATATAACATACAGTATGAAAAAGAGCTCTGGCATAGCTTTGAAACACAGATGATTCTAAAACATGATTTCAAGTATGATGAACTCAGGTTATTGAAGAAAACTAAGGTGTTTTAGAACACACTTCTAAGTGTTTAACTTAATGTCTGGGAGGATAGCTGTGTCTTTGTACAACAGATTTCGTGGTACCACTTTCAGAGAGGAAGTCCTGACTTGGATAGACCACACTTCTGACCCAGTATGGAAATTCCTATGCCTTTAGGAACTAAACGTCAAACAAATAAAGACCCACAGACTGACTATTTGCTTATATAAATTCACAAGACTGTTTCTTTGCTTGAATACCTATTATAATGCAGGAATTGAATATAACATATATTAGAGTCCAACATTTTAGTAAATACCTTTTAAAATTCTTGAGATTTTGGAAATCAGAGATTCTTTGTGTAAAGGGGAAGAAAAACACCTTCATTCAACATGTTTATTGAGGTCCCTACTATGTGTCAGACATTGTTGTAGGTAGTGCAGCTATGGATATGTGCTATGTAAAAAGCATACATAAAACCATTGTCCTTGGAGAGCTTATAGTCTACTGCGGAAGAGAAACAGAGGTTGCACTGTGATGCTGAGATGTGACTAAATTGCTATGCGGACAGGATGGAGTTGCTGACCTTTGAATTCAGGGACGAGTTCTAGTTTTACAAGATGAAGAAGGGCATGGGAGGGAGGGAGACATTCTAGGGAAATGGTAAAAAAAAAAGATCCTGGCCTTTGCTGGGAATGATGGGAACGCTGTAGGACGTGCATGTGTATATTTGTGCACTTTCTGTTTAATTCCTTAGAATAAATTTCTAGAAATAGAATTGCCAGATCAGGGTATACTACAAATCTGGTTATATTGTCTTGGTGTTTTGCCTAGTAGAACTCCCCCCACAACGTTTATAAGCATGTCCATTTCCCCACACTCTGCCCAACACAGGGTATTCTTTTCCTTTTTAGTTTTTGCCAGTCTGACAGGGAAAAATACGGTATCCTGTTTCAAGTTTGAATTTATTTTAGGAAGAGAATCCTGGTGGCAATATGGACTGAGAATAGATGAGGGAGAGATGAGTGGCAGAGAACAGTTGAAATGGTTCATGTATGATGAGATCAAGAAGGTCCTACGTACCTTCAGAGTAATGGAGACAGAAGGGGAGCTGGATTCAAGAGGGGTTAGGAAGTAAAATGGACGCGATTCGGTGACAAAACAGGGGTAGGTGTTTGAAGGAGAAAGAATTCAAGGAGAACCCTAAGGTTTCTACCTTGGGAGATGGGGTGCCTGGTCATGCCATTAGCTGAGAGGAGGAAATAGGAGAGCCAGGGTCAGAAAGTAAAAGGAGTGTTTGAATGTTGGGAGCTGTTTTCCCTGTGCAGCAAATTCACCTGCTGATATAGAAGAACATGCAGTGGTTGGGCGGAAAGCTGAAGGATAGTGGCAAAGGGTCGAAAAGCTTTTGTCTTAATGGGGATGGGCCAGGGCAGGAAGCTAAGAGCTAGTAAGATAGATTGCTGAATTGCATTGAGATGGGATTCTAAGTTTGTATGAAAGATGCTCTGTTTGCTATGAAAATGCTATTTTAAAATACCACCGCCAGATTTTCTATCTCCAAGACCAGGCAACCCAGGGGCAAGTCTGGAGAAAGTAGGGAGTTGGGTTCGTTGCGCTTTATGAAGGGAAGTACCTGGTGAAGTACTTAAGAAAAAGTACTCTTGGTTCTCCTTGACTTCTCTTTCCATTTTCTGCCTGTTCTATCTTCTTAAACTTGGTTGCTAAAGAGTAAAATGCATGGTTTTGGTTTGACTTTTAGCTGCACAGTATCTCTTCCCTTTTTTACTCTTTTAGGAAGTTCAACCCTCCAAGAAAGTCATCAAAAAACCCAGAAGTTGCTTTAGTAACACTTGACATAGTGTACTAGATTGTTGTGTTACAGAGTCCAGACTTGTAAATTTTTCATTCAAAATCTTATTTATAGTCATATTTCTTTTAGGCCCTGGATTTCTGCTAATTTATATAGATTTTAATGTTCCTGAAAAAATAAAAAGGACACAAACTGCTATTGTAGTGTATTTTAGTATATTTTATATGTGTATATATATTTTAAAATAATAGTTATAATTTGTTCCCTTTCTTTTAAGGTAGACTGTTACATCTAAGCCCAAAGAATACAAAGAACACACACACAGGTTATGTTATTCCCCTACTTTATTGTAATGAAATGGTTGGCTTGATTTTAAATTGGGTTTAGGAATGGTGACTTTTGGTAGTATCTTTGGTCTTCTCTATTATACAGGTACTTCTTCATTCTTTTTTTCTCCCCTCTGCACCATCATCCCTCTTCCCTTCAAAGTAATATCATGTTAAAATTTTTAATTTGCTGTTGGCTTTGGAATCAAACCAGTTGAATGCCTTGCGATCTTGGGATTAATTAGCACTTCCCTTGTTTCTGCCTCTTGGTAAAGATATTTCTTTCATGCTGCATTTTAACCTAAAACCTATATTGATTTCAGAAGTTTGGGATTGACAAGGACTTGGTAATAAGCATATAGAGGAACTATGTCCTGATTTTATCTGTGATAGAGAATGCTGAGATACCATTGTTCACAGTCAGCTGAATGCTTTTCGTAATATGATGGTAGATGGTAGTAGCTCTGAATTCCTGTGATATTTATTTATCACTTCATAGGCCAAAGAAGAACGTGAACAGATGTCCAAATACTTTTTCTTTAAAAATTTCAGTAAGTCATTGAATCTAAGAGCCTAATGAACAGCCTTTATAAAGTTTTTAGTGTCCATCTGATCAGATTTCTTCCCTCTGAAGGTGTCATTTAAAATGATGATGAAGTAGCAGTCTTCATTCTTCATGTGTCACAGTAGTGTATATTGACACAAATGCTGTTTGTCACAGTATAGCTGCCTTTGAGGCCAGGGTAACCTCTTTATCTAGTCTTTGTAGTCTAGATGTTATGATTGCTTCTAAATTGATTGTATGTTTCTTGAGGACAGAAACTGTCCACTGCATCTTAGCCACTCATGTATCACATATGATTAAATGCTATGCATATTAGTTGTGAAATATTTATTGAGTAAATGAGTATATAAATGTTATAGCTGAAAGTCTATGGACAGCATGCCTCATCCAAGGTATTAACGATACATTCTTCCTTCCCAGTAGCAATTGGCTCTTATTTGGTTCTGGTCGAGCTAGGTATGGTAATACTGCTTTATGGTGCTTAGGATTTTTCTGGTTCTCTGAGAGGTGGAGTGTTTGTCATTCATTTGTTTCTTCAAGTTGTTTCTTCTCCTTAATCTGAGACAGCTACTGGACATCTGTAATTTCTTTGCAGTGGTCTTCAACCTCCTGGAGTTTCTCTTGGCAGCTTCATAGCCAAGATACTATTTTGTGAAATACCAGTTTGTACAGTAGGGAAAGTTGGAGAAGCTCCGGTGATGATGAGTCAAGCACAGCCTTACAATAGCTGCAGGAAACAAATATTCTTGGAGTGCCTCTGATATTAACGTGATCAATGAGATGTCACTCTAGATCTTGTTGATACCTCCCGTGTCTTTTAATTAGAACAGGTAGAAGATGAGCAGGAGTTAGGTGTTCCTTTCTAAGCCTAGATTCAGCATAAGTGTTGAAATAACTTTTTTGGTAATAGCTTTATACACACATACCATACAGTTCACCCATTTAAAGTGTGCATTTGAATGGTTTTATATATTCACAAACTTGTGCAACCATCATCACAACCAATTCTAGAAAATTTTCATTATTCCAAAGAGAAACCCCAATACCCTTTAGCTGTTACTCCCATCAACCCTCTCCATCTCCTTCTACTCTAAGCAACCCCCAATCCACTTTCTGTCTCTCTGGATTTGCCTATCCTGGACATTTCATATAAATGGACTTCTATAATATGTGGTCTTTTGTGACCGGCTCCTTTCACTTAGCATAATGTTTTCAACAATTATTCATGTTGTAGCACGTGTCAGCACTTCATTCCCTTTTTTCTCCTCTGTTAACTGGCACCACATTTCCTTTCTTGAAGAATCAAAAGTTTTATTTGAATCTTTCCCATTTTTCATTCCCCATATTCAATCAATAGCCATGACCTATTAGTTTTGTCTTTGCAGTATTTCTTGGGTCCACATCTTTTTTTCCTTTAATATCAATGTTTGTGTACAGTTTTTGTGCACATTTGTTTTCATTTCTCATAATACATAAGAGTGGAATTGCCAGGTCATATTGTTATACTATACTATGTTTAACCTTTTGAGGAACTGCCAGGCTTTTCTAAAGTGGCTGCCTAGTTTGCATTTCCACCAGCAGTGTATGAATTTCCAATTTCTCCACGTCCTCTGCAGCACTTGTTAATACTCTCTTTTATTTTTTAATTTTTTAAAAAGATTTTTATTGGGGAATTGGGGGATGGGAGCAGCGCTGGGGAATTGGGGGAAGGGGAACAGACAAATTGCTGTCCTTTTGTTCTTCAGTCTAGTTGTGGAGGACGTTTCACTGGCCCAAGTTGGCACCATC